TTCCCCCGGGACCCTGTGTCTGGCCTGTTTATGCTGGACACTGCTCCCCCCCCGGCGGGCGAGCCCTCCTCCGGTCCTACGTCCACCCAGGTAGCTGCGGCCTGCTTGTATCAGTCGCTCACTCACCCGTCACTGTTGTGGCACCACCGCCTAGGTCACCCCGCGCTCCCCCACCTGCGTCACATGTCTCAGCACGCTCTAGTCCTCGGCCTCCTTGCGTCGCTCCCTGCTCTCCCTCCCTTGCCTCCGCCGCCGTGCACGCCCTGCGTCGAGGGCCGGCTGCGCAGTGCTCCTCACTCCTCCTCACTTCGCCCTGCCACTGCACCCCTTCAGACCCTGCACTAGGACGTCAGGGACCCAGCCCCTGTCCCTAGACTGCGTCGCGAGCGCTACTTTCTGGTGCTCGTTGACGACTTCACACGCTACACCACGGTGTTTCCCGTGGAGCGGAAGGCCGACGTGCCTGACGTTCTTATCACGTGGCTCGTCACTGCGCGCCTCCACTGCGGTCTCCTTGTGCTGTGTCTCCACTCCGACCGTGGCGGCGAGTTTGCCTCTGGTCGGCTTGGTCATTTATGTCATGCAGAGGATATCACCCAGACATACACCCTAACGGACTCCCCGCAGCAGAATGGGGTCGCTGAGCGACGCATCGGTTTGGTCGTGGAGGTGGCTCGTACCTCCATGATCCATGCCGGTGCACCCCATTTTCTGTGGCCGTTCGCTGTTCGCTACGCCGCTCACCAGCTTAACCTCTGGCCTCGCTCTCAGCGGCCACAGGTTTTGCCGACCCTTCTTTGGACCGAGTTCCCTGGTGACGCGTCTGCATTCCACGTCTGGGGCTGCCTTGCTCATGTTCGTGCCTCCGGCATAGACAAGCTCACTGCCCGCACCGTCCCCTGTGTCTTCCTCGGTTTCCCCCTTGACTCGTCGGACTGGCACTTCTACCACCCGTCGTCTCACCGCTTCCTTCTCTCCCGTGACGTCACTTTCAATGAGTTTGTCTCCTTTTTCCACCGCTTTCCTCACCGAGGTCTCCCAGTTTCCCCCCCCTGTTTCAGGTTCCCACTCCCCTGATTGCCCCTGCTCCCCTCCCTCCCCGTCTTGCTCCGTCCGGTGTGTCTCACGTCCCTCCCTCCCATCTGCTGTCCTGGTCGAGGAGTCGGCTGACTCCGGTGGCCCCGCGGCGCAGCTTGCGCCGCCTACCCTTCCCCCACTGTCTCCTCCTCCCTCATCGCACTCGCCGCTGTAGCCGCCGCCGTCATCGCCGCCGCAGCTATCGCCGCAGCTGCAGGGGTTCGTGGACTCTAGGGGTGTTGGAGTTGGAGATGCTATAATCACAATAGGCTCAAATGTGCCTATAATGAGAGATAGAGAGCACAGTCGGATTTCCGTCAGACGGCTTCAAATATTGATGCCGATCTGATGTGTGCTTAAAACGATGATCTTTAAATTTGATGTAGAGCGTGTTGCTGTCGCCTATCAGCAGCAAGTTGAATCATAAAATTCCATGAAGATTTGACGACGCTATGGCGGTTTGACTGGCAGGAGGTACAGCAGCCACTATAGTCTTAGGAGTACAAAAACTTAGGAAGAAGAATTCGAGAGGGAGATGGTTCCCAACCTCTACATACCCCATGAGCGGAGGTCCAGGTTGGTGGTACACCACCACAGAGTCCCCAACCATGAAGAGTCTCGAAACAAACCCTCCAAGGGGCTACACCAAGTGAAATGTAACACTACACGAAGTAGCGTTACTATTTTCACTATTTAATATATATCTGTGTCCCTTGGGCTTGAAATCTTGAGCTCTTGGTCATGGATCTGCAAGATAAATTCTTCTTGATTTGATGGGGGCTTGCTGCACACACCTGCGACGCGATGGACACTTCACACTCGACAAAATAGAAATAACACATGCGACACGCAAACGACGACTTGACATGCGAGTTGTAAAAACTCGCTAATGTCTTGATCGACACAAACCACATTGTGATACACCATTCAAACACACACACAAGCACTAGATAGCAATGACATAGACTCACAATTCATTCCATGCCATGCATGCACACATACAAACAAGGACGACAAGCCGAGTGCAAGCCATAGGGTTGCACCAACAGGAGAGGGTGCTAGTCCTGGGTCTTCAGTCGTGGCTTGTCCCAGCGGGCTCAAGGGTGGCACTAGCGCTGGAGACGTTTCTTGTTCTGAGGGTGCTGGCGTGGAGTGTACCGGAGGTAGCAATGGTGCAGCTGGTGGTCCAGGTGTCGGCATTGAGCAGCAGCAGCAGCAGTCGCCGCCGGTGTCCGCCCTTCGCATGCTCGGCCTTCCCTCCCCTGACCGCTCGCCTGCGCCTTCCTCGCCGTCTCCCCCTCTTCCTGTTTACGATCCTGTGTTCCCTCCGCTGAACTCGTCCCTGGCTCGTTTCCCCTCTCGTTCCCCTCTTGTTACTCCTCCTCGCTCTCCTGACCCGACGCCTCCATCTCACGTCTGGTCTTGCCGTCCCTCTCGTGCTCATCCTGTCTCTCCTCTTCAGCGTTCTCACCCTATGTTGCTTCGTTCCCACGTGTCTTGTCCTCCCCGTTTGCCTTTGCCTCCTCCATCATCGCTCACAGTCGTGCCTCCCCCTCTGTTTGACTACCTTCGTGCTGCTCGTCCTCTTGTTCCTCGGGTCCTTGCCTCCCTCGTTACCAACCCGTCTGTTCCTATCTCCAGTCTTGACGCTCTTGTCGCTGCTGTCGCTGACTTTGCCTCTACTCGCTGCCTTGACTTTGCTACCGCTCTGGTCTCTGACCCTGTTTGTCCTCCGTCCGTCGGGGGTGCTTCTGCCCTCGGCAGTCACGTCTTGGAGGAAAGGCAGTACGAGCTTGCTTTCCTATCAGAGGCTGCTTCCCATCTCTGTTCCATGCTGCTAGTCCCTGAGGGTGACCCTGACGCCTTTGACATCCCGACCCCTCGCACCTATGCTGAGGCCACCTCGGGACCCTGGGCCTCTCAGTGGATAGCTGCCATGGAGCAGGAGATGGCATCTTGGAGGGCTATCGGCACTTACGTCGACGCAGTTTCCCCACCTGGGGTGAACATGTCGATGGTCGCTGGCTCTTCAAGGTGAAGCGCCCCCCTGGAGAGCCGCCTATGTTCAAGGCGCGCTACGCGGCTAGAGGCTTTAGACAGCGCGAGGGTGTGGACTTCTTTCAGACCTTCGCCTCGACCCCGAAGATGACTACTCTTCGAGTGCTGCTACACATAGCAGCATAGCATGACTACGAGCTCCACTCCCTCGACTTCTCCACCGCTTTTCTTCACGGTAGCCTGCACGAGCAATTATACCTGCACTGTTCTCAGGGCTTCACTGGTACCTTCCCTTCTGGGACCCAGTGGCTCCTCCGGCGCCCGGTCTACGGCCTGCGATAGGTGCCCCGTGAGTGGCACGACACGCTGCGTGCTACGCTAGCTGATCTGCAGTTCTTTCCGTCCTCTGCTGACCCTTCGCTCTTCGTTCATGCTGGCTAGACTCCGTTCTACCTCGTTGTTTACGTAGACGACCTGGTCTTTGCTACTGGAGACAGAGACGCACTGGCCTTTGTGAAGGCTGAGCTGCTGAGGAGACACACCTGCACTGACCTGGGAGAGCTATGTCGCTACCTTGGCCTGTATATCTTCAGAGACAAAGCAACGCGCACCATCACTTTGACTCAGTCACACTTGGTGCGCCAGGTCCTTCAGAGGTTCGGTCTTCAGTTCTCCTCCGCACAGCCCACACCTCTGCCGGTAGACCACAGGCTCTCAGCTCCAGTTCTCGAGGAGTCAGCAGAGCTCAGTGGTCCTTCCGCAGAGCTGGTGGGTTGCCTCATGTACCTGATGACTTGCACTCGTCCAGATCTCGCATACCCTCTCAGCATCCTGGCCCGCTTTGTGGCCATAGGCAGACACCGACTACAGCACTGGTCGGCTGCTAAGAGGGTTTTGCATTATCTTGCGAGTACATCAAACATGGAGCTAGTGTTGGGAGGACGCAGGCCAGTGGTCCTTACTTGGCACACAGACGCTTCTTGGGCAGACGACGCTGAGACCCTCAGGTCCTCCCAGGGCTACTGCTTCAGCCTTGGTTCTGGTGCCATCTCGTGGAGGTCCACTCGCTCCTTGTCTGTTGCTCAGTCTAGCTGCGAGGCTGAGATCTACGCCGGTGCCATGGCGGCACAGGAGCTCCGCTGGCTGACCTTCTTGCTTGCCGACTTAGGTAAGCGGCCTAGCTCTGCCCCGGTCCTGTACGCTGACAACAGGGCCATGATCCTCCTGTGTCAGGAGCCTCGACTTGAGGGCAGAGCAAAGCACATCCAGCTGCGGTACTTCCTCCTGCACGAGCTTCAGCAGCGTCGCCAGGCGAGCGTAGTACACCGGGCCTCCGGTGCCAACACAGTCGATATCTTTAGTAAGGTGCTTCTGCCTAGAGATCATCAGCGGCACTGCTTGCAGTTAGGTATAGTCCCTATTGACTCTCACTTGCTAGGCCCTTGATTGTGTACTCCTTTCCATTTATGCCTTCCAGACTGGCCTTGTGGCTTTTCTTCTAGTGGTTGGACTTGTAGTGCAGCCCTGGTTTGCTTTGTCTTGCTTGTACTCTTGGTGACTGGTCTTCGGGCCCCTGCCTCAGAGGTTGGACTAGTAGTGCCACCCTGAGTTGCGTGTTTCTTGCTTAGCACTACCCCTTATCTAGCCTAGGGGGTGTGTCAACTTATACTTATATTGTTATGTAGAAGTTATAGGCTAGATAGGGTATGTTCTTAGTGGGTACAATCCAAACGCTATAGCTCCCTTGTTTTCCATTCTTCTCATCATTCTTTCTAGTCTTAACAGAGGCCTGGGTCCTATCTTATGAGGTGGTGAGATGTGCTATTGTGTAGTGGTGGATATGGAGGGGGTTTGAGAAAGTTTTTTTTTTAGAACTGCAAATATAAATAAATAACACAGTTTAGAATTTACTGCAACCAGTCAACGCCATCGAGGGAAGAAGCCCTGGTGGAGGGTGTCTCCCCTTCGGTGGCGGGGGAGAGGGGGGTTTCGGTGGTGGGGGGCTTGGCTTCCTTAGGAGGTGGAGTGGGAGAGGGTTTAGAGGGCCTGCGGGGGAAGGATTTCACCCCAACCTTTTATCGCCATCTAGGGAAGAAGCCCCATCGCCTCCAGCTTATCCACTCCTGGGCGGTGGGGGCGATGGGGGTTTTGGTGGTGGGGGTCTTGGCTTCCTGGGAGGAGGGCTGGGAGGGGGTTTCAGAGGGCCGGGGGGAGGCTTCTTGGGCGGTGGGCTCGGTGGAGGTTTGGAAGGAGGGGAGGGAGGAGGTTTAGGGGGAGGGGAAGGAGGGGGTTTGGGAGGGGGAGAGGGTGGTGGTTTGAGTGGGGGAGGGCTAGTGAGCGGTTTTGGTGGGGGGCTTAGGGGAGGCTTAGGGGGAGTTTTAGGGGGAGGGGAGGGAGGGGGTTTACTAGCAGTTGAAATCTTGGGAGGGGGAGAAGGAGGGCGGGGGGGAGGGCGTGGGGGAGGGGAAGGCGGAGGGGGAGGCTTGGGGGGATTCGGGGGCAGGCGAGGGGGAGGGGAAGGGGGAGGGTTGGGGGGGGCGGGAGGTGGAGGCATGATGGCCTGATAGCAGGGGGGGAGGTGGGGAAAGGAGAGGGTCTAGTCGAAATAGGAGTAAAAGAGGGTGAAGGAGGGGGAAGAGGAGAGGTCGAGAATGTGAGTGGTGTCAGCCGAGGGGGAGGGAACGAGGGAAGAAGCAGGATTGGGGGCAAGGGGAATAGTGGCAGTGGTGGCAGTGGTGGCAAAGGTGGCAGTGCTGGTATTGCTGGCAGTGCTGGTATTGCTGGCAGTGTTGGTAGTGCTGGTAGTGGTGGAGGAAGGAGAGTGGGAGGAGGGGAAGGATGTCCAGACGTTGAAAGGAACGGGCAGCTGAGAGCCGTCAGATTGAAGAGCAGCGGTGAAATTCCAGCAATGGGAAGGCAGCAGAGAGGCAAAGGCCGCATAGGTCCACCCCCCTGTGGTTGATGCTGCTGCTGCAAGTGATCCTCCATTGAGAGACGAACTGAAAGAAGGAGAATCACGTGGGAGGCAAGACGCACAAGAGGCAGCAACAAGAGCAGTGGTGATATTCCAGCCGTGGGACCACAGCAGAGTGAGAGTTGGTCTGAGTGCAACTTGCTGCAGTGCAGGTGACTATTGAGAAATTCTAGAAATTAGAATTCTTTTGAGTCAAAGAAAAGGTGAGAGTTGGTCTGAGTGCATCTTGCTATAAGTTATTCTTTAAAATTCTACAAATTTAGAATTCTAGCACACAATCGAACCTATCCAAGGCCCAGTTCCACCTTTTGAACAACGACCTAGCACTGTGAGTTGAGAGAGTGACGTGAGTGAGAGTTGGTCTGAGGGCACATCACACTGTGAGTTGAGAGTCTATAGGCCCACCTTCCTCCCTTATCCCGTTTCACTCACCGGTCCATAGCCACTATGAGCTTGACGCGCGTTTCACTGCTGAAGAGAGGCCGGTCGAGAGTGAGAGTGCTGCGAGGAGCAGCGGTTACCGGCAGCATGCAGTTACCAGCGCTGTTGTAGATAGCATCCGGCAGGCCCTGCTTGTCCCCATCATCATCCACCAAGAAATCCGGCAAGCTGTCATCGCCTGTGCCTGGTGCTGGTGTGCCTGCGGGGTTGGGAACGGGTAGAGAAGGATTGGGACAGGTTGAAATCAACCCCTGCTCGCCCCCCTCGTCATCCACTTGGAAATCTGGTAAGCCATCATCGCATGTGCATGGTGGTGGAGTGCGCGCGAAGTTGGAACATGCCACAGAAGGATTGGGAATATTGCTTGGTGGTGCCTGAAGTGCTTGGGGTGCCTGGAGTGCCTAGACAAGACACATCAGGTTTGGGAACAGTGCTTGACGGTGCCTGAAGTGCTTGGGGTGCCTAGAGTGCCTGGACAGGACACAGAAGGTTTGGGAACGGTGCTTGGTGGTGCCTGAAGTGCTTGGGGTGCCTGGAGTGCCTGGACAGGACACAGAAGGTTTGGGAACAATGCTTGGTGGTGCCTGAAGTGCTTGGGGTGCCTGGAGTGCCTGGACAGGACACAGAAGGTTTGGGAACAGTGCTTGGTGGTGCCTGAAGTGCTTGAGGTGCTTGGAGTGCCTGGACAGGACACAAAAGGCTTGGGAACAGTGCTTGGTGGTGCCTGAAGTGCTTGGGGTGCCTGGAGTGCCTGGACAGGACACAGAAGGTTTGGGAACAGTGCTCGGTGGTGCCTGAAGTGCTTGGGGTGCCTGGAGTGCTTGGACAAGACACAAAAGGTTTGGGAACAGTGCTCGGTGGTGCCTAAAGTGCTTGGGGTGCCTGGAGTGCCTGGACAGGACACAAAAGGTTTGGGAACAGTGCTCGGTGGTGCTTGAAGTGCTTGGTGGTGCCTTAAGTGCTTGGGGTGCCTGGAGTGCCTAGAGTGCCTGATGGTGCCTAAGGTGCCTGGAGTGCCCGGTGGTGCCTAGAGTGCCGAGTGGTTCCTGGAGTGCCTGCAGTGCTTGGAGTGCTTTCTTGGAGTGCTTTGAGTGCTTGGAGTGCTTGGAGTGCCTGGAGCGCCTGGAGTGCTTGGAGTGCCTGGAGTGCTTGGAGTGCCTGGAGTGCTTGGAGTGCTTGGACCATCATTTGCCTACCAAATCCACATATTGTCGCCTTGTCTTCACATCCGCATTCCTACAATGAGTGAAAGGTCAGAATGCACAGAAATACTGGCCCTTGTTTGAGGCGTACGGTTTATCACCATTCCCTCGACGGACTCCACCAAATCCACATACCGCCGCCTTGTCTTCACATCCGCATCCCTGTTATGATCGAAAGGTTGAAATGCACAGATGAGAAGGACAGCTTAGTGCTCTCCTGAGACATGTGAGGGGGAAGAGAAGGCATGCACTTGACTGCCATTTCCTCGAACGGTCTCCACCAGATGGATCCACATACCGCCGCCTTGTCTTCGCATCTGCATTCCTGCAATGAGACAAAGGTAAAAAGGCACAGAAATAGATGAAAGCAACGAGATTGATCCACATTCAACCGCCTTGTCTTCACATCTGCATTCTTACGTGGGAGGAAAGAATAGAAGTAACATCCATTTGGGGGGGGCAGAGGAGGGGAAGATAGGGGGGGGGGAAGGGGGGGGGGGGGGGGTGTGGTGGGAAAGAGGGAGAGGTTGAAATTCTTGGATAAAAAATGTTGAAACATGAGAAAAAAGTGTTACCAGTGACTACAGTGTGAGCCCATTCAAGGGAAAACAGAGGAAAGAAATGTGCATACTGTTAGGATTAAGGACAGAGTCTAGGTGAACTTAGGAGCTAGAATTACTCAAAATATAAATCCGAAATTCTGGACAGAAAAGTCGTCTTCACAAGAAACGACGTCGACAAAAAACTAGCCGTTGGAATGTTGCGAAAATCGGATATGTTGTAGCTTGTAATCTTAGCTACCGTTTTCAATTTTAATCACATCGATTGATGGAGTATTCGCGACGCTATGTCTTTTGACGCACTGGGGGGTAAGCTGTAGGAGGAGAACTTAACTCAATCTCAAAAGTTCAAGAATCTCACAAGGAATTAGAGGAGCAAGAGAAAGGTTGGGATAGAAGAGAGGGATGAGAGGGAATGTCCTAAGAGAGTCCCCAACCAAGGAAACCCCATAAGCACAAAGATTCCCCCCCTATAGGAACCCAAACTTTGACATTTGTCCCTTCCCAACCAATCCATCCAAGTTGGCCACCCTTGCCAACCTAGCTTGGTTGTTCCCAACCAATTTGCAGCTGTTACAGTAGAGTGACAAATTTCCCCAACCCCAAAGGTCCCAACTCCATATAGAGTCACCCCACAACTTCACTTTGTAACCGCCGCAATTGTAACGCAAGCTCATTAACTTTGAATCTTCATAGCTTTCGCGTTCTTGCTCCGATTGAAGGGATTCTCGTTGCGTCGGAAAGATCTTCTCAATGATACCTGTTCAAACAAAATAACAACGATGATAGTAATAGTAATAGTAATAGTAATAGGAATGAAAGGGGGAAGGGAGGAGGGGAAGAGAGCTTGTGGAAGTGTGGGCGGGAGAAACAGAACAGGGAAGGGATGACAGGAGGAGTGAAAGGAGGAAGAAAGAAATAGACTTTGACCAGGGGGAAACAAAATAAATATCTCAAAATCGCTAAAAATGAGAGAGAAGACATAAAATAGTGTGTGTTGTTGACACAAATAGAGTTGTAGGTGTTTTTTTAGAATTCTAAAAAATCACAAATAGAGCAAGCTGTTTTTGAGAATTCTCATAAACACCCTGGTGCATTTGATTCAGAACAAAAAAAACTCATCTCAAATTTCCCCAAGACTTAACTTCTTTGCTACCTTGGTGTCTTTGAGTTGGGTCATGATAACTGGCAGTGTGAACACCTCCTTGCATGCTTACCCAAGTACCATACGCACAAACACATCTCTTCTGCTGCTTGCACACAAACAGACCCCACTCACACCCACCCACCTCCATGTCTCACTCACCTCCTTTTCTGCCTTGGTGTCCATGATTTGACTCGTGATATGATAGCTGGCAATGCGAGCACCTCCTTCACTGGAAGGACACCCAGGTTACCCCAAGCACACTTCCACTACACCCACCCTTCCCCAGGTCTCACCTCCTTTGCTGCCTTGGTGTCATTGATTTGAGCCATGGTAGCTGGCAGTTCGAGCACCTCCTTCACTGCATGCCTGCAAAAAACACAGGCATGCATACATCCTTTATCCAGAATGCGACATCCTGCCTTGAAAAACCATGAACAAAAAACAAACAAAAGCAAACTGAACAAAGCAAATGCCCTCCCGGGCTCACAACTACCGATCATCCGATCATACACCAATCAGGCATCCCACGCTCACTTGCATTCAGATGTAGAGTGCGCGAGTACGATATTCGCCTTGTTTTCAATGATGGCTCGGATGTTCTGCCGCGTTGCTTCCAGTATCATATACTCAAGGAACTGGTCCTGCGCTGTGTGGTAGTGATTTAGAGGGAGTGAGTGAGTAACATTGAATAGTATTATGGAAACTGATATGTTGCTTCCAGCATAATTTTCTCAAACAACTGCTCCTACGCTGTGCGGTAATGAGTGATGGGCATGGGTGAACAAAGACGGGTTGATTTGAGGCACCTCAAAATCGAGGCTCCAACATCATGTACTCAAAGAAGTGGTCTTGTGCTGTGCCGTACACAATTGGAAGAGGGCGATGCAGTGCAGTAGATGTGATTGGATGTGATTGCAGTAGAACATAGGTTGATGATATTACTCAAGCTCTCAGAAGCATCTTATAGTCAAAGAACTGGCCCTGCGCTGTGCGGTACACGGTTGGAAGAGGGCGATGCAGTGCAATAGATGTGATTATATGAGGGTAACAAAGGTTGATATTTTCCTCAAGCTTCCAGAAGCATCTTATGGTAAAAAAACTGGTCCTGCATTGTGTGGTAGTGGTTATGTTTACAATGCATGATTAGGAGCATAAGGAGAAAGACCAGAACTCCAAAGAGATTAATAAATTCAAAGAATTGGTCCAGCACTGCGTGGTAATGAGAGGTGGGGTACAGTTCAATACGGATAAGTCACAACATTTCAGAACCACGTTTTAGCATGAAAGAGCTGGTCCTATCCCACTGTGTGGTAGCGGCTAATATGGGAGGGACAAAAATAAAGAGGATGTAGCATACAGCAATGGGCAGAAGTATCTTGGTGAATCCAGGACTCGCTATAAGCAAGCAACGAATGACATTGAAGTCAATGTGACGTTGCACACCCTGTAGATGGATGATAAAGAAAAAGGAGCAGGAGAAAGGGAGAGGGAATGGAAAGGAAGACTTAAAGAGTTGCAAAGCAAAGCAGAAAATAGTTTCTATCAGAAATTTGAAGATGTTGAATAAACAGAAAAAGAGAAGAGAAGAAAAGAAAAACAATAACACAGAAATCATCCAAGCAAACAAAAGTGCATGGAGGGAGGACCGGATATAGATGCCCACTCAAGCTAAAAAAAACACTCACCTAAAAGAAGTTTTCAAATAATTTATTGGTTGCCTGCATGTGGGGGACGGTGGGAGGGTGAAACACGATGTCAAAAGAGAGCAGGAAAAACTGCCTAGCATTCAAAACTTTGCATAATAGGTCGCCTCAACACATTATTATTAATAATGTATTGATTGCCAACAAGGGGGAGATGGTGGGAGGGTGAAACCGTTTCACTGAAACGTGTTGCCATACGAGCGCAGGTTCAATATCCTCGTTAGAAAAAGATCTGTTTTGAGACATCTCGACGCACATCCTCAGATAAGTTGCAAATGCCAACTCTCTTTTCCCCTTGAAGCATCTTCTAGTGTTACCCCTTTCACTGGATAAGGCACACACCTTGTCGTATCTTGCTATTTCTGGCCCTCGTTTCCTCAGGATCGCCGTCTGTAGGGAGGCAGAAAAAACAAATCATGATGGCACGCACAAGTGTGCCCACGCGCACGTATAGACATTCACAAAAACTCACACATTCCATATCCATTCCCCCCCACCTCCCCCCACTTCATCCCCCAAGTCTCACACATGAGCTGGCCACTCCTGTGTCTCCACTCTGCACTTGAGAAACTGGGTAGGGTAGCAGAGCAGCAAGCTCAGTCTTTCCGAGTTAAGCCTACTAAAGTGAGAACTAGGCGATCTAGCCCCTCGTGTCTCCACCACTGCTCAGTCAACTTCTGAGGCGTCCTGAAACCCCTCATACTCACCTCCCCCTGGGTCTCACCTCGCCCAAATGTCACCCCCCCTTTTAGGTATCACCTCCCCTAGGTATCACCTCCCCCCAATGAGACTCACGTTAGCCAGCCACTCTCCTACATCACTGCCAGTGCGAACTCCGTTCCAAGGGCACCTCAACACCTGAGTCTCACCGTGCCCAGATCTCACCTCCCCAGGTCTTGCGACCCCTTCAATGCTCACCTCCCCCAAGTCTCACCTCCCTCCTAATGAGACACGCGCTCGTCAGCCCCTCCTACATCACCACCACTGCTAAGTCCGTTCCCAACGAACCTCAATACCTTGGCCAGGTGTCACTTCCCTGATTTTGCACCTTGCCCAGGTGTCACCTCCCCTGAGTTTCACCTCCCTCAGGTCTCACCTCCCCCCAATGAGACACACGTTGGCCAGACCCTCCTGCATCACCACCACTACTAAGTCCGCATTGGCCGAGGGGTCTGCATGAAGATGGAAACGACCAGAGGGCAAGAGTCATGGGAGGGTCAGAAGGCAGCACGGGGCACACTCACTCACTGAATGGCCTCCCAAAGCCAAACGTTTGCCCCGTGCCTGGGAGGCATGCATGCTCCTTCTGGGGAGGCAAAATCTTGCCAGAGTCTCACACGCCCTACCCCATACCACTCTCCGCATGTTTTAGGGGGGGGGGGAAGATAGAGAGGCATGTTTTAGGCATCTAATAGGTCACATCCCATGGAGCCCATTGTATCGATCGATGGGATGGGAGGGACAGAGCCCACATGGCTCTCTGCGCGATGTCATCCCACCCACCCACAGTACCCGAAGCTGCTGAGTCCCGAGATTCAGCGTCCAAGGAAAAGCTCTGGGGCATAACATAACACCACCAAAGAACGGTAACCAATGGTCCTTTTGAGGCTTACCTTGGTTAGTGTGAAGGCTCGTTGCTGGTCGAGCTTCAGTGTGTGGTACGATCCCTGCTTGAGGGATGAGAAAGAGACCGAAAGGCAGGAAATTTGAAACCGGTGGGGAGTGGGGAGGGGGGGAGGGGAGAGGCAGAGGGGAGATGCGGTGGGTGCATACAGGGGTGTTGCCAGGCGGCTCACTGTGTTCGTACTTCAAGGGTGACACGTATTTCACAAGAGTCGCAATAACAGATTTGGTCTCTCATCCATGCATGTCCATTCCATACTAGAGCACTATCTCTGAGCTTTCTCCACTAACACACCAATCAATCACCTTGTTGTGATTCCACCCAAAAGCGGACTCCCATTCCCCGCTGACTTTTGAGTCGACTTAAAAATGTAACTTTTGAGTTGACTCTTGAGTCGGCCTTTGAGTCGACACAAAAGCCATTCTCCACTAACACACCAGTCACCTTGTGAGCCCATTCAAAAGCAGACTCCCATTCATTCCCCACTGACACACTACTCGTCTTCACTTCACACCCATTCATTTCTACCTCTCAGACTCTTTTCACTCATGCTCAGCAGAACCCACTAACCTTCACATGCTCATTCTCGGTGACATTCTTGCCGATGCGTCAGCGTTTGAGTCGACTCAAAAGCACACCCACCCACGCACTCACCTTCACATGCTCTTTCTCAATGGCATTCTTCCCACGAACTCAAATGATTTGCGCTGACGCATCGAAATCCACCTCCTATCGTGGGCCGATGTCATGAAGGGAGGGGGCAATGGTGGCGAAGGGGATGGAGGAATGAAGGCAATGAGAATTGGAACTTCCACGGCCTCGAATATCGTGCACAGACGCGTCAAAACCCACCCTCCTGTCAACACAGAGGGGACGAGGGGAAGAGAAGGGGGGATGAGAGGAAAGAAGGGGAGGGGGGAGGGGGGGAGGGGACTTAAAAACATGGTATGGAAGGGGGCATGGGCCAAAGCATCACAATCTACACGTGCCTCTCATCTCAATCCCAACATCTTATCGTCTCTCACCTCCACCGCCACTTCCAGCCTCAACTTGATTCAGTCCAACTCACTGCTGCCCCTCCCCCGTCTTCTCCGTCCTGCTCCTCCCATTACACGAATCCCCTATCATATCATCCCATCACATGAACCCCCTATCATATCATCCCATCACACGAACCCTGTAGGTCCAGGATTTAGCAGAAGCATGAATGATACTAATCAAGAACGCGGTGGCGGCGTCTGCTACAGAGGATGCTTGTAACGTTTCGAAGAAGAATCCATCCGCTCCCTCTTCCGTGTAGAGTCTTCCTGATGGGTGTAACGGTTGTAACTACTAGGGAACACGTGTGTCTTGATGCACATGTGTTACTCCATTGCTGCCGGTGATCGGGTCGCTCGAGGGTATGAAGATAACTTGCTTCTCCCCTTGTGATATCCATGGGTAGCAACTGCCTTGTGATCTGCGTGCTGCGATTGCATTTCCACCATACGATATTACCTAGTAGGTGTTTGTTGCTGAAGATTCAGACTGTTGATAAGTTTGGTTGCCGAAATTCCTGACGTGATGAGGAGAACTGAATTTTGGGAGGCGGAAATTTCAGAAGTCATGTCGTCGAAGTTATTGTTGGCGTATATCTGCTTCTCTGCGTCAAAGGTCGCAGTAGACTCGTTTTCAACTGCAATTATTAGTCGTTGATGTCTGTTGTCGAATGATCGGACGCACGCAAATAATCCACTTCTACCGAGGTGTCATTTCCACGCGCCCTGAAACTCCACCTCCATCAGCTCAGGTTCGTTTTGTCTTGGACGATTTGAAGAGTTGAGATCGAATTGGATGGCTGTCGTAGATCGTCGCTTTCGCAACTCCAAGATTCGTGGTGAAGTTGGAATTTCTTGGAAAATGCCGCAGGGTAAGCTCCACCACTACCGTCGATCGCTTCGGAGGGCAGAAAATACTCCGAATTTTAATGTAGGTACTTCAGGGACGCCTTCTCATTTGCGAGGGTCGCAGACGTATGCCCCCATGAAAAATCCGCTCCGTCGATGTTGAGAATCGAACGGTTGGCGATGGTGCTCGCCATCAATGGGGACCCTAGGTGCAAATGCTCGAGGTTAGTTGGAACTTTGTAAGAACAAATGGATTTACTTACGCGATCGAAAAGTTTGACCCCATCCTCGGCGTGCTCCTAGAGGCCCAGCAGGTAAGAGTTGATCGAAAACCTTGTGCTCTGATTACCAAGTGTCACAGGTCCAGGGTTTAGCTGAAGCTTGAATGATAATCAAGAATTGAATGTCTGAATACAAGCAAAGAGATTCTACTATTTATACCTACGAGAACTCTAGCGAAGGGTAACTAGGACCTTCTAAGATGCGGTGACGGTGACGGAATACTCAGTCGAAGCCGCCACGGCAGCACGATGACGCCACGGCAGCATGACGAGGACGCCGCGGCAGCGTGGCGAGGCCGCCACGGCTGCTCGACGAGGCCGCCACACGTCGAGGCCGCCATGGCAGCAGGACGTGGCTGCCATGGCAGCGCGTCGAGGCTGCCACAGCAGCACATGGAGGTCGCCACATCGCGCGAAAGTGACAAGAGAGGAGAGAGTATGCGGCGGAAGTGTGAAGAGGCTCAGCAGGATCTTCCTGCACTAAAACCATGGTCGAAAAGGTTTAAGCTAGGTAGGACAAGAAAGTAGCGAGAGAAAAGAAACTTGACTAGGGGAGAGAGAAAGAGAGATAGATAGATAGAGAGAGAGAGAGAGAGAGAGAGAGAGAGAGAGAGAGAGAGAGAGAGAGAGAGAGAGAGAGAGAGAGAGAGAGAGAGAGAGAGAGAGAGAGAGAGGGAAAGAGAGAGAGAGAGGGAAAGAGAGAGAGAGAGAGAGAGAGAGAGAGAGAGAGAGAGAGAGAGAGAGAGAGAGAGAGTATGTGTGTGTGTGAGAGAGAAAGAGGGAGAGAGAGAGAGAGAGAGAGAGAGAGAGAGAGAGAGAGAGAGAGAGAGAGAGAGAGAGAGAGAGAGAGGTACAAGAAGGGGGTTGTCCTCTCTACAGTAGGATCCAGTCATTTGTAGAAACACCTACCAGGCCTTTACAACTATATACGTAATATATATGTTGACATCGACCTGGAAGCTAGTCGTTGCAATGAGCTACTAGTGCCATTGTAGGTGTGTTCGGTATGTTTTAGGCTTTTTAGAATTCTTTAAAAATTACTGGTTCGATGAAATGGCTTGAGTAACCAGATCAACCTGGAAGCCAGCTACTCCTACCATTGTAGGTGTGTTCTTTCTGTGCCGAGAAATTGAACGAGAAGGAAGCAGCTCAAATCATTCCTCGTTCGAAATCGTGAAAATGAAATCCACGTATTCCTCGTCGTCGTTATTTATACGATCGCTCGACAGTCCTTCGCAAGATTCTATCTACTGGTACTACATACACTAATGCTGGTCCAGAGCAGCATAAATATTTCAGGAGGAACCATGCCCAATGAAACTGTAATAAAAGTGTATCGTTATTAGATTGTACTTTGATTAACGCCCAGTCTATACTCTTTTTGCAAAAACTCACGACCATACGTGTCGCATTTGCCTGTTCCTTCTTGAAACCCGCTGCCCAGATTGTTCATGTGCAGTGCGTATGAACGTGAGCAGTGGTTTTAGTGAAATCAGAGAAAATATGGCTAACCCATGAATCTTCGTTGTCGTAACTACAAGGCGCCCTCGACAAGTGCAACAACCCCAAGAGCAAATATTCGCAAAAAACATTATATCTATATAAACAACCCCCACATACGCAAGAAACTTTGAAACCGACCAATGAAGCACATTCACAGCCAAAAACACAGGAGCAATTCTGAGTGGTCTACGACCGCGACAATCTCAGAGTGTCAGGGTCACGACCCAATGAACACCACGTGCCACATGCCATCTTTTGCATGCAAAACGTGTAGAAAGTCTGCAACACGGGTCGTCTATCATGCCTAAGCACATCACGCCATCCGGCCTTCCCCCTTCGAGAATGTCATCCAGAAGGACAGGTGTGTGTATTTAACAGCGCCAAATGTCAAACTCCAGGGCACGCCCAATCATATATGCGTTTAATTTGGAGCATCAAATTTGGCGTGTGTTGCAACTCAGGCCCGTAACAATGCAAAAAATGTGTGATGAGGCAGCTTGGGCCGATGTCGCAGCAAATGCCAGGCTCCCCGCCACTGAACAGTACACGCTGTGCCGAGATCCATTTCGTGAAAACGCAATAAGTGCACGCTTTGCCCGTGCCCCCCTCGACTAGAGCGAATTCCGATATTTTCTGAGCTTGGCCTAGTCGAGGGAGTCTTGTAGAGAGGTGATTGCTGGCAGCCAATCAGAAGCATTTGTTTTGCTCGATGAATCAAACGTGTTCTATCTGTTGACACAAGTTCGGTAAAATCCCTTGAATTTTGGGCCACCCGATCAACGTAAGACTGATCCGACGGCCCAAACCCAAACAGCTGAAAGTTTTGAATCGACGACCTTCAATCAGTATCAAGCTTTACATCCGAGCTCGACAAATATCGACCGTCAAAATAAGAGAGGTTCTGTGTGTTTGCCGAGTCTCAAAACGCAGGTTGTTTCAACTTCTGTGTTTGTCAAGGGACTTGCACTATGTTAAGATATAGAAAATGCCAATGAACAATAACGTGAGAATACAAGGTCGCCATTCCAATGAAGGCACGTGGTTATATAGGGGTTGGCATGCTAGGGCGATAACCTCGGAATATGGGTAGGTTTGGCAATGTGGCGACAGTGCCGGACGCGACTCGGGAAAGGGTTGGGCCAACAAATGAGGCCGAACGTGACAAGTCGTATGCTATGATACCATGTCAGAACACAGCCACCAACCACTAAGTTCAAAGGGCTTGTTAATAGAGGGTCAGTGCACCCATGGCCCCCTGGACTCTGCACCTACGGCCCTTCCTCGAGGATCTTCTCAAGGGTAACCCCAGCGGGTCACTCGATAGTCGGTTCTTGCAGGGGAGTCAGGTACGGGGCAATGCGTTGATGTGCTAAATCCGATGAACTTGGAATATAGGGGCGCAGGAGGCTGGCGTGGAAAGCTGAATGGTGACGCCAATCAGCTGGGAGTCAAAGATGAGTTGTGATAGGTGTCACCATATTGGTCACTTGAAAGGGACCACAGAAGCGGGAGCGGAGTTTGCTTGGAATCGGCAGGCGCATGTTGCGAGTGTCGAGAAGTACGAGGTCCCTCACTTTGTACGTGACGTCACGCCGGTGGCAATCGGCTTGTCGGCTTGCGACTAGGTTGGCTTTTCGAATTGGTCAGCTGCTTTTTCTCGGGCTACTAGGATATCTTCGGCAAATCGCTGGGACCGGGGCACGGGTGTCTCGATGTTGGGTGTAGAGGGTACCACAGGGTCCAGTCCGTAATTTAAGGAAAATGGGGATTGGTGGGTTGTTGCGGAAGGCGCGTTATTATACGTGAATTCCAATAGCGGAAGGGATTTCTCCCATGTGTGTGGGTCAGTACAGGTAGTCCGAATGAGTTGCTCCATAGTTTGGTTGACTCATTCGATCTGCCCTTTGGTTTGTGGGTGGTAGGCGGAGGAAAACTCTAGTTTGGTGCCGAATTGGTCCCACAGGTGGCACCAGAAATTCGATGTGAATTTCGGGTCTCGGTCTGAAATAATGGCGGTGGGCAGGCCGTGCACTCTGATGACGTTGGCGATGAATAGTTGGGCAGTTTGCTCAGCTGTAATTTTCTGTTGGCAGGAGATGAAGTGCGCCATTTTGGTGAGTCGGTCAACGACCACGAGGATGGCGTCGTTTCCGCTGGGACCAGCTGGCAGTCCTGTCATGTAGTCCATCGTGACCTGTTGCCAAGGTCGCTCGGGTGGATCCAACGGCTGTAAGAGTCCGGCTTGCTCATTGATGGGATGACTTCATGATTTGGAGGGCGGTGCAGGAGGACACGTACTTGCGCACGTCGTCAGCCATGTTCGGCCATTAATGATTGCGCTGCAACGTCTTCATGGTTTTGTCAACTCCGAAATGCCCGGAGGTTGGGTTGCTGTGGGATTCCTGGATTAGGAGGGTATGAAGTAAATCGTAGCCGGGAACCCAGATGCGGGAAGTGTCACGCTTAGTGAAGGAATGTCCAGTAGCAGTGGTATGCTGTTGGTGAATGGCGGAGCGGAAGTATTGGTCGATTTTGTAGCCGTGGGTAAATAGTCCTGTAAGGAGTGGGCTGGTCTGGGCGACTAGTATGGCAGCTTTATGGGCAGTGGGTCGGGTCAGGGCATTAGCAATATTGTTGGCACCCTTTTTGTAGGTGATGGTGTAGTGGAGAATTGACTCGAGGAAATCGAGCCAGCGGATCTGTCGTGGGTTGAGATTCGGTTGGGCTCGTAGGTACTGTAGGGACTTATGGTCGGTTCGCACAGTGACGTCCACACCTGTCAGGTAGCACCACCAGGTCTTGAACGCGTGGACGATCGCGAACATTTCCTTGTCGTATACTATATCATTTTTCTCTGCGCCATGCAGGTTCTGTGATTCGTAGGCGACTGGTTGTAACCCTATGCCGAAATCTTGTAGGAGAACCGCGTTGATGGCGATGCTGCTCGCGTCAGTGATAACTTCGTATGGACAGTCAGGATCGGAGATGCGAAGGACGGGCGGTGACGTGAAGGCGATCTTCAGTTGGTCAAATGCAGCTTGCTGATTCTCCCCCCACCAAAAACAATCGTGATCCTTCAGCCAGTCGGTTAGCAGGGTGGATAACACAGCCATATTGGGGATAAAGCGGCGGACGTAATTTATGAATCCCAAAAAACTTTGCAGCTCCTTGTCGTTTCGCGGTGGCTTCCACTCCTGTATGGTCTTGATTTTTAGTGGGTCGATTTTCACTCCATTAGTAGAGACGATGTGGCACAGAAACTCCAACTCTTGCTTAAGAAATTCACACTTGGACCCCTTGGTGATGAGGCAGTTCTTGTGCAGCAGCGTGAAGACAGCATCAAGATCCGTTAAGTGCTGCTCCCTGCTTCTCCTGTAGATCAATATATCGTCGAGGTAGATGATGTCGCACTTGTCCAAGAGTTCCCTGAGGATTCCATTCATGGTCATCTGGAAGGTTGAGGGCACGTTCGTGAGGCCAAAAGGCATCACCGGGTACTCGTAGCTGCCGTATAGAGTTCGGAATGTGCGAATCGATCTTTGAGAAAAAATTGGCTCCGCGAAGTTGGTCGAGAAGTTCATCAGCTCGCAGGATCGGGTAACGTGACTTGATGGTGATCCGGTTGAGTGTGCGGTAGACAAATGCACATTCTAAATCCTCCATCCTCTTTCGACGTGAACAGGATTGAGGCGGCGAATGGTGATGTGCTGGGCCGGATAATACCTTTCTCCAAAAGATAATCCAGCTGCTGCTGTAATTCTTCCTGTTCCGTTTGGCTGAGCCCAAATTGGGCACCTGGTTCCAGCTCGATTTGGTGGTCCTCAGGTTGGCTCGGCGGGAGTCCAGCTGGCAGATCCTCCGGAAAATCTCACGGTATTTCCGAATCAGGTCCGCTAAATCCGGAGGGACGGCTATGCACAGCTTCTCAATATCTTCGTCCTCGACGATCGATGCCAACTCGCGAAGCTCAATGGCGTATACTTCAGCTCCAGCCCGCAGCGCCTTCTTGAAGGTGATTGCATTGACTGGGGTTTTTCGCATGCGAGGCCCCGTCCAATTTGGCAGCTCTCAAGAAATCCTATTGAGCTTGATGCTGCAGCCACCCATCGTCTAGTCGATCTTCGGGTTGTACCTTTGCAACAAATCACGTCCGAGCAGCACGTCGCACCCATCAAGAGTCATAGCCAGCAGCCCCATTCAAAAATTTACGTGCTCCCCATAGGTAAAATTGACGCTCTCCACCCGCTCCCGTATTTCCAGCGGTGTGCCATCAATCAGTCGGGCGTCAATCCCAAGTAAACACATTAGTAAGGGTATACCCAATGTTTTAGCCCTGTCTAGCTGTATGAGACTGTGAATCGCACCTCCATCAATGAAAACTTCAAAAACACCCCGTCGACTTTACCCTCCACCTATCCAGGGTGATCAATAGTTTCGTCCCCCTTATTCGTCCGCGTCTGGTCAATTGCAACAATCGGGATCACGACCCGGTGGGGACTGTGTCGTTCGGGCGAAGAAGCTTGCCTGTCAGTAAGGGGCTCGGTACTTACTGACGTGACCCATTTCCCAATCGCTCCTCCGGCCTCTTCCCCATAGAATTCTGGAGGGCTACGAATTCTTTGCAGTTGCGTCGGATGTGACCCAGCCGGCCACAATGGTAGCATAGCCCCGTATTTCACGGAGCAATTGCATAAATATCCACTGCATCCACCCCTTTTATTGTGGCGCGCTGGTACTGTTCTCGAGGGCGACCTCTGACGTAAAGTTCATCCTTCGCTTCATAATCGAATCAGTGGCTTCGGCGAGCTGCGTGTAGTCTTGTAACCGCTTTGCAGGGTGTTGCATTTTTATCTGGTACTGTATTTCGGGCTTCAAGCCGCCCATGTACCTGTCGACCTTCTCCAACTAGTGCATGTAGCCACATCTGTCCACCAACGTTAGGAACAACGTGGTGTACTCGGACACAGATCCCAGCTGCTTCCACATGCGTAGAGTTTTGTGTGCCTTTTTTGAGTTAGGTGCATGCTCAAACCGCTTGCGAAGCTCTGCGCACCACATTGCCCACGTGTGAAGATGGGTCACTCCGAAGAACAGGTCTGCCTTGTCTTCGTCACCGAATTCTTCAGACCACTTGTGCTGTCCTTCTGTGTGAGTTGCCGCTGAGTTGACGATGACCTTCCACCATTTTCGGGCAGCCCCTTGCAACAGTGTTAACGTGTGGCTGATCTGCTTCTGATCGTCTCTGATGCTTGCCGTGTTAAAATAGATACATTCATGGCAAATATCCACTGCCGCACTGTCACGCCTTTATCAGCTGGGTTGAAAGGAGCGGGTTGCTGATATCTTACGCTTCCAATTGTCGAGCACAGGTTTGTTGCCGCCTGTCGTGTCAGATCCACTGGCATCGGTCGCTGCTCACCCGCCTCGCTTCGTGCATTGCCGCCCGGCTCCTCTGGACGCTTCTCCTGTGCCTGGCAAAGTCGTTGGTTCTCGTCACGGAGTTCGTTGACGACGCTTGTCAAATTCTTCAACTGCTCCATTAGTGCTTGTAGGTCCACAGTTTTCCTGGCAGGGTTCGCAGCAGTCGACGTGGACTGTCCCTCAACTGTCAAATCCACCGGGGCCATGGTGGTCAAGACGGGGCGGAAGCTAGCGCACACGCTGTAATTGTTGGCGTAAAAATATTTACGACCCAAGACAATTGTTGTGCAGCCGTCCTAATCCCCTCTGACCACCGTTAACTAAGTAGACGGGAAAACGGAAGGTTCCTGGAAAGGTCGAGCTCTGATACCAGCTATTATGATATAGAAAATGCCAATGAACAATAACGTGAGAATACAAGGTCGCTATTGCAATGAAGGCACGAGGTTATTTAGGGGTTGGCGTGCTAGGGCGATAACCTCGGAACGTGGGTAGGTTTGGCATGTTAGAAACTCAGTCACTAACCAATGAGTTAAAAGGGCTTGTTAAGTAGCGGGTAAGTGTGCCCATAACCCCCCAGGCTCTGCACTTGTGACCCTTCCCCGAGGACCAAGGGCAACCCTAGCGTGTATCTTGACACCCCCCCTCGCTGGGTTAGGCGGAAGACACAAGCGCCTCTGCAACGCGCACCTCCCCGGTGCACATTGGGAATTGAACCCGATACCTTTGGCTCTGACAACATGTTAGAAACACAGTCACTAACCACTGAGCTAAAAGGGCTGTTGGCTGCTGGCGGCTGGCGCTGGCTGCTGGCTGCTGGCGCTGGTGAGCCAGCAAGCTGGCTGCTGGCGCTGCTGGCTGATGGCGCTGGCGAGCTAGCTGGTGCGGGCTGCTAGCACTGGCGAGCTGGCTGCTGGCTGCTGGCGCTTGTGATTTAGCTGGTACTGGCTGCTGGCGCTGGCGAGCTGGCACTGGCTGCTGGCTGTTGGTGCTGGTGAGCCAGCAAGCTGGCTGCTGGCTACTGGCGCTGCTGGCTGCTGGCGTTGGCTGGAGCTAGTGAGCTAGCTGGTGCTGGCTGCTGGCGCTGATGGCGCTGGTGAGCCAGTGAGCTGGCTGCTGGCGCTGGCTGCTGGCGCTGCTGGCAGGCAAACGAGCAGGCGGGCGGGCGAGCAGGCGGCTGGCGCGAGCTACGCGACGAAGAGGAGAGGGCGGTGAGGGGACGAGCTACGAGGCGTGCAATTAGGGCCTAGGCGCGCTAGGCTAGGGTGTGCTAGGGGGGAAGCGTGAGTAGAGGGCGAGATCTAGCTCTAGATGCCATGTTAGAAACTCAGTCACTAACCACTGAGTTAAAAGGGCTTGTTAAGTAGCGGAGTAAGTGCGCCCATAACCCTCCAGGCTCTGCACCTATGACCCTTCCCCGAGGACCAAGGGCAACCCCTGCGTGTATCTTGACGCGGCAATGTGGCAACAGTGCCGGACGCGACTCGGGAAAGGGTTGGGCCGACAAATGAGGCCGAATGTGACGAGTCGAGGAGTTCATGAGTACGCGCTAGCATACGACTGAGAAAGCAATGGAAATTCCTTACGCACAGGTTGCAAACAACACCCTTCAGTTCAAGTAACCCCTCGCTTTCAAATGCAGTGCGTTTGAGACCCTAAGTTTGCAATTTGGGCCACGGGTTTTTAAGTGGTATTGTATTTGAATAGAATGGGAAACGGACAAAGATGTAGCTGAACTGAAGATTGTGACCCGACTTTCAGAGGAGTGTGCAGTGCAATCGTCATAGCATTTCATATCTCAATGATACAGCACACTCATAGTTTGAAGTATATGGATGTTCTACACGACGAAGCGAAATAGGTAGATGCCGACTAGGAAAGTGGGAGAGGGGGGTGGGAGCAATCAGAGAAGAGAAATGAGAATGAGACTAGGTGGCAAGTCCATCGGACCTGCGAGAACGTGAAGGAGCTTGTCTCCTTTACAGCAAAACTCCTCTTCAAATCGAATCACAATCTGTAAATTTTTTGTTCCTACAAATTTATTCATATTGTGACACGACTTTCAGAGGAGTGTGCAGTGCAGCCGTCATAGGTCAAACGAGACATCAGGGAGGGGGTCGGCGACAGTGATGCTCGAGCGTAGCTACATACCGAGCAGTCGGACTGGAGCGGAGAGGGTCCTGAAGGGTGCGTGAGGCAGTGATAAGCTCGCAATCGAGCTGGGTGACATAACGCTCCTTAGCCGTGTCGCTGCGCCAGCGGCCGAGGGCCTTAACGAGCCGATCAGGAACACCAACATCAACGGCCGTGGTGGCGGCGGACTTGCAAAACGAGTGTGTGCCAAGGACATCAGGATTGAGTCCGACCCAAGAGAAGGAATCCCGGCACCAACTCCGAATGGTGGCATACGAAGGGGAGCAATCGGAAGGGGAAGCTCGAGAGCCCGGCGGAAACACACGGATGAGGGGGCCGAGAGACTGGGAGGAGTACCCTGCGAGGAATAGGAATTGCTGGATGCGAGAGACGGGGCAGTGGCGAGCGGAGGAGGCAACCATAGGAACCCATGCACCAGTACCCGCCTGATCGGTCTTAGAGCGGGGAATGAACAACCACATACTGTCCCGGTCAAACTCAATCTGGTGCCACTGGAGGGATATCAGATCAGAGAAGCGTAGAAAGGCTGCAAACATGAGGAGAGGGATCAGCCCCTTCTGGAAAGTCGCAGGATCGGATGACGCAAAGTAGACGTCGCAGATATCATAGATATTTCTGGGTGGTATCGGCTCCTTAGTCCGAGCGGGCCTGCCGCAGTGGCGTTGTGCGTACTCCTTCACTTGGGAAGATAACGGACCGCGAATAGGAGAAGGAAGGCCGACCAGCCAATGGGCATATGAGATGGCGGAACATGCGGATCGCACTGCCGAAACAGTGGTGCCACCGCGGATCGAGTGCAACAGGAACAGTGCTGCCGTAAGGTTGCTGGCAGGAAGAAAAGAAAGCGAGTGCTCGGTACAAAAGACCCGATACTGTTGCCAG